AGTCTTATTGATGTTTGGAATAGTAACGGTTAGAAGTGAGGGAGGCAGTCATGAAATCTCCAATAAACCGAAGGGGAAGAGATGATACAGCAGTGGAGAAGAGTAAAAGCTTAGCCCCTGAAGTTGTCAGTTTTGGCAGAAGGTTAGAAAAGTGGTCTGGAAACAATGATGAGGAGTTGGAGGAACCTGGCTGCAGTGCTGCTCCATCTTCACACGTGTCAGGAAGGCCAGTGAGTTTGGGGGCATTGCTTATCTACTTCATCTCTCTGATCTTTATTGTCTTTGTCTAAATAGACTGGTTCCTGGTCTGTTTAGAAACTTGTTCACTATATGCTAAAGAAATGGAAAAAAAATCAGAGTCTTGGAGTTCTAGAACAAGAAGAATTGCTTAGATTTGTTTGAATGACTTTAAAACAGATAAAAACAAATTATTTTAATATATATTTAAAATATGTAGTTAATCAGTTGTAATGAAGCATTTCTTTCAGACGGTTAGTAGAGGAAATAATAGTATAAGTATTTACATAAACTAGCGGCCTGCAGTTTCTTGATTTTTTTTAAGTAAAAGTTTTACTTCCATTTTTAATCATGAGTATATGTCAGTGTGATTGTACATATGAGTGTGGCATCCTTGAAAGCCAGAAGCGGGCTCAGAATCCCTTGGAATTAAGAGTTAACTCCAGTTGTTAATTATAAGCGACCCAGCATGGGTGCTGGATACTGAATTCAGGTCCTCTGCAAAGGCAGTGTGTACTCTTAACTGCTGAGCCATCCCATCCCATCCCTTGAGCCCCTCTTGATGAATTTAAGATGTTTCAGAGACTATTTTACACTTGGTTGTCAGGACGGTATTGCAAGATTAGTGCAGAATTTTTGATAGATACTGCTGCTCCCATCTCTGGCAGCTAATTTACTTTGGTGTTTCTTTTGTTCTTGTTGTAGTGAATTTTTCAGTGAGTTATAGCAGACTAATAATAAGGGACAATGAGTAAATAAGTCAAGCAATTCAAGGTCAAAAGTTCTGACCATTGCTTCATGAAGCAAGCAGAAAAATAAGAACTTTTACGATTTTATTTTTAAAAAATGTTAATCAATTCTTTAATGAAATCTTCTTGAGACAGTAGAAATTAGGGAAAGAGGGGAGAAAAGAGAAGGGTAGCTTTTATTTGGTATGAAAGTTTCAGCAGTCAGGTGAGCTTGAAACATGCCCAGAGTCAGTATCAGTGCACACAGAATTAGTAACGGACAGTGCAGAAACTATCCTAAATACTTTATAGACCTTACTTGTTACACCCTTGCCCACTCTAGTCTTTCTGTGATTGACAAATTAGATATTTCTTTTCTGAAAAGAGAAAACTAAGGGCCAGAAAATGAAATCAGTTTAAAGGTTATAAAATAGCCCTTTATTTTTTCCAACATAATATTTTATTGATTATTTGGGGATTTCATATAATGCACCTCATGGCACTTGTTTCCCATTCCTCCCAAGTCCACCCTCCCACCCTTGTGATCTTACCCTCCTCCCCAACTAAAAAACAAAAACAAAAATAAAAAATACACCAGATCCAATTCGTGTTTGCCCATATACTCACTGAAACATGGTCAGATTCCCAGTGACCAGCCCCTTAAAGTTAACCGAGTCTTCCGTACCCCCCAGCCAACTATGAAGAGATGCACTTCAGCATCTTTGTCACAATTTTTAAGGACTCTCTTCCCTAGTTTCCTGCCTACACTATTTCTTTTCTTCCGAACTTGGAGGGTATGGCACAGAAGCCTTCAGTGTCCTCATTCTCAATTATGAGTCTTCAGTCATTGATCCCACTGCAAAAGATGCTTTCCTGCCATTACCAGCCACTGGCAACACGGATTATGAACTTCCACATTACTTCAAATGGCAGCGTGGACCATGGGCATTCACATGACCTTTAGCAGCAGCCCAGGCCACAGATATCCACATAGCTTCTGGTTGTAATACAGGCCACCAACATGAACATGGTCTCAAGTGGCAGCATGCTCCACAGACATCCAGATGTTCTCTGGCAGAAATATGGGCCAGGAACATAAACATGATCTCAGGTGGCAGCACAGACTGTGGACACCAACATGACCTCCAGTGGCAATGTTGATCATGGACATCAATATGGCCTCTGGTGGTAACACAGACCGTGAACATTAGCATGGCCCCGAGTCGTAGCATGGATCGTGGGGACTGACGTTGTGTCCAGTGGCAGCACAGATCACAGACATTGGCCTACAGCGGCAGCATTGACTGCAGTTTACCAGCATGGCCTCCTTGAAGCAGCAGCATGGAGCATGGAGACCTTTTGAGGATGTCCAACAACAACAACAACAAAAAAATGAACCGGTCTCTGTCTGGGACATCATGCTATTGCTCAGAGCCACGGTGATTGGCTGCATAACACATTCAAGCCTGCAGGATCTCCAGGCTGCTGCACACCTCGCTGCTGGCCCTGCTTTCCTTCTAGTTTCACCTCTCTCAACCACAGGCACCACGCCGTTCTGCCATCTTTCCCACCTCTACAGCACAAAGTGGCATTGCAAACTATAGTATGTCACACAGTATTCCCCCCCACCCCACCCAAAACAGCTTTACCTGTAATACTTATTATTGCAACAAGTCTTTGATCTGGTTCAAGATTGCTGGTTTCTGAAACACCATAAATACTAGACTATCGCTGAAAATCATCTAGGATATCCTGTTGTTGCCCAGAGTCCAGATGATCTTTTAGTTGGTCAGTGTGTCCAGAAGCAGGATCTGTGAGAACTCTAGGTTTGCTGCATACCTCTTGCCCTTGCTACTGGCCACCTCACACATTTAGTGGGTACAACCATTGTGCTTGCAGCCCCGTGAGCTGCAGAAAAGTTGGCTTCGTGCTGCAGAACTGGCATGCTTGCCTGATCATGCAGGCAGACTGAGGACCAGCCAAACTGCAATGACATGTTCCTTTGTGCGCTGCAGCTGCACTCCCATTGGGTTGCTGCCCAGTCTCCAGCCTCTTCTCGCCACACTGCTCTGCTCCACCATCTTTTCTTCCAATATCATGAGACCACTTTTTAAATGCATCTTCCAATAGGACCTTCCTTATTTATTTGTTTCAGTAATATTGCATGCTCTGCAGACTCATCCTCCTCTGTTGAATCTCCCCTAGAGTCTCCAGCCCTTTGTTTTTTAAGTTAACAAAGTTATATACATAGATTTATAAGGGTCACTTTAATGAGCTTTGATAGAGGTATTCAACAACTCAGTGGAGATATAAATCAATCCCATAGTTCCATGAAGTTCCCTCAGGTTATGTAATTCCCGGGAGAATGCTTGGGTATCAAGGACCTTCACTTCATGGATTAAAAAGTAGATAAAACTGTTAGAGATAAGCATCATGAGAGCATCTAAGTCAATAGCCGATAGAAAAACAGATGGGGAGCCCAATGATAAAAAGTAAAAAAGCAAGGATAAGCCTAAAAACCTTATTCGAGTAAAATTCTCTTTCATTATTCCTGATAATGCTGTTTTCTAAGTTAATTCTATCTTTGAGTTTTATATTAATGCACAAATAAGACTATAAGTGCTTTCTCTGTACCAGATACTAGTAATTATCTTCTGTGTGTTCCTCTTGAACACACTAGTATTTTGAATTTATTATTGTCCTTTTATGAATAGAAAAAATGAGGCTTAGAGAATTCACACTGCTTTTGAAACTAAATCTAATATCTCAACTTTGATAATATTCTCTGAATTATTCTTTTAAGAGTAGTCTAACTTTGTGCTTTGTTTTTGAAGGCAGTAAATTACATATAGCTCTTTAAAGCATGTCATTCTTTAGCAGTGGCCTAATTTAATGTTTAGTTAATAATAAATTTGACTTACTATATCAGGCATATAGATGAAAATATAGTAATCAAAAGGAATTTCAAATTGAAAAAGTAGTCACATTTTCAACTAGAAATTATGAGTTTATTTTCTGATTTCCTGACTTTTTAGAAAAAAAAATCTATACCGTAAGATTTTGTCAGTTTTTTTTTGCATTTAAATTTTCCTTGTCTGCAATAGGCTCTTCACATGACTTTTTAAAATACCTTTATTCAAACTTTTATTGATTATATTAATAACATTTTAGTATTTCATTTTATGTGTTTGGGTGTTTTGTATATATGAATCTCTTGAAATCACATGCAGTCTGATGCTCTAGGAGGTATTACAGACAGTTGTGGAGTGCTGGAAATCTAATCCACTTTATCTGAGAGAGCAACAAGTGCTCTTACCCACTGAGCCGTCTCTCTAGCCCCCACCCCTTTCACAGTACTTTTTAGAAGATCAGATGAAATAATATGTATAGACATAAAGTTTAAGGTATGGAGCAAAATCTTACTGATCATTGTATAATTAACTGCAGTATAGTTTGTAATTCATGAAGAAGCATTACGGAAATGGTCAGGTAGCTTGTGAACAAATTATTGTACTAAGAAAAAGGCTAAGTTTTATCACAGAACTGATATTTAAGAAAAGCAAATTAGCCCTGTCTTTATGCACATTGTCTTTCAGTCATGTCCAGTTCCATATGGTACCAGTGTCCCTCACACAGTGAGCTTTAGGCAGTTGACCAAGGGGGAGTTGAGGTCATGACCCAGCTTCTGTTAGCTTACAACCTACAAAATTAAGTGTGACTTCAGGTAGATTGAGGATCCAGAAGGTGTGGCTAGCCTGTGTACACTCATCAGCAAGCTTCATCCAGGCCATGCCTTCAGAATCAGCTGCTTCACACATAACTGACACCTGCTAGAAAACCTCTCCAACTTCAAGGCCATGGTCATCTATGTGTGTAACTGTCAGAGAGTGGAAACATGATGCAGCTGACAAGGAAGGGTATGTCATAGAGCCACTGCACATGTCATCAAATGGAGAAGCAACAGCTGAACTTGGATACTGATAGCTAAGAAGATGTTGCTAGTGCCTCCTTGGGCTGCGGTTGTACACCCACAAATGTGCCAACCAATCCAGTATGGTGGCCTGTGGTTCCAAGTGATATCTCTACAGCCACAAGAACTGCATCACTGCTGTGGATTGACTGCAGCACCGTCTTTTCGATGGGGACCAACAAGTCCTCTAGTCAGGTAGGTATGACAGCCCAGGGTTCCATAACTACAACACCAAACTGGGAACACACAATATGACAGCTCTTCTCTGTCCCTAAAGAAGGTCTACCTGCATGCAGGGTACTGACAGGAATGGCCATGTCTGAAGGGGCAGATATATGACTCTGTATTTCCTGCAGGGCTCCATCTAGGGGCAGTTGTCCAGTCGAGGCCCTGGAACACACCTACCACCACGAGGAAAAGACTGGCCACTGTGGACTATTTCTTATTCCCCTTAAGATGAGAACTATGGATTTACATTGACAGTTATGGGGGCCTAACCTCAGGACCTGAAAATGATCCATTTTTCATGGGATGACTCTCATGAATGGAAGCCAAGTACCTGTATGGACCCATTGAATACAGTATATCTGGTATTTTGTCCTCAGGTGGATTATTAGTGACTTTTCCAGTGCTCTGGATCTCTGTTAGTTTGGTCGAAGATTCTTTAATTTTTTTTTTATTTTATTTTTTTTTCACTCTGAGCTGGTTAAGAAGGATTCTATTTTATCAGGTACCATTTTTGTTTGCTTTCAAAGTTTTTGGTTTACAATATCTGGTTTGGTTGCTTTGTGAGTAAGCATTTTGATCTTGATATTTGGTTTGATTTGCTTGCTTGCTTTTCGATCTTTGAAGGCATTTTGATTCTGACTTTTTAGCTCATTTCCAGTATTATTCAGTTTTGAAAATTTGAAAACATTTTGGTTTTGGTGTTGTCTTGGTTTTTCTTATCTCTGAAAGATTTTGATTTCTTATTTCTTATCATTTGTCCTTTGTCTCCTGACATTCCTTAAATGCACAATTCTACGTTTTTCTGCGGCTTCTCCCATGACCGTGCCAGGCCTTTAACTTAGGTATTTTATGAGGGCCTGATGATAAAGATAGCAGGCTAAAGGTCTGGCAAGGTCACAAGAAAAAGCAGGACTCTAGTCTATAAATTAAACTTCAATTCCACAAAGATTTTGTTTAATTCTTCTTATCCAAATTATACTAAAGAGATCAATGACTAATAATAACATTAATGATGTTTTATACTTTAAGTACTGCTTTTCTTAATTTAGTTGTTATCTAAAATGTTCCATAGTACAGTCTGCTGAGATTAAACATTAATTAATGTTTTAGTTATGTACAGGAGAGATACTACAATAACTCCTTTCTAAAGTACCATTTTTATCTGCTTAGATATATATAAATGAGAGAGTTCATCAAATGCAAGTAACTGTAGATAGAGGGAGCTGTATCGTCAATACAGTAAATTTTGTTTTAGACATTTGTTTCATCTGTAATCTTCACTCCATTAGGCAAAATTGTGTTCATTATTATTTAATTTTAGACACAATAATCTATGTCACATGTAAATATTATGTGAGATAGAGAGGGTGAAAAAAATCCAGACGCGGATCCTAATGGCTAATAGTTTTTATATGATCCAGCAGTTTCCTTTTTAATGGCCTTTGTGAGCTGTTTCTCTCTTCTAAGATTGCTGTCTTGCCCACTACTCAGGCTTATCTACATTCAGTGATAGGAATAAGATTCCTAGCTGTGAGAATCCTTATAATAGTTAATAAGCAACACATGACTCCCGAATGCACAAAATGTGAGATTTGGCCATCATGATCAACTCTGAATGAAAACTTAGGAAAATAAGCTGTTTGGGGTGTGAACAAAAACTTCTGAAAGGAATCTCTAGAGACTGGCTGGCTACAGTTTCAGCACTGTGGAGATAGAATATTTAGGGCCAGAGGCTGATTATTCTGGACTACGTTCTGGTCCTCTGGAACAGCCATTCCTTGCCAACCTCTGGATTAGAACTAATACCTTGTGACAATAGATTTTAAAAATTCTCTCATACACACTCAGATTGTTGCTACTTGAAGATATAAGATTAAATTATAATTTGCAATTTGTTTCTTTAATTGAAATGTCTTTAAAAACTTAAAATTTCATATATGTATTACTCATTTTGCAAACTTGTATCAACTTCATACATGGTTTGCTAAGATAGCTACAATTTGGGTAATTTTTGGATTTAAATCATTGGTTAAAATTTTCCTTTCCCATCTCCAGGACTGTACCCACTTGAAGCCCAAACAAACCCTTCCTCCCTTCTGCTTCTTCTGGTCAGGGAGAGTGTCACAGAAGTAACTCATGTCCCTTCCACAATTCACACTAGATGAAGAGGCAGAAGGAGGAGTCAGACATATGCCAAAAGATGAGTGTGTGTGTCTTTCTGTGTGTGTAGCTTTTAAAAGTGGATTAGAGAATCTATTTTAGAGCAAACGAAAAACTTGCTCTCACTAAAATTTCTCACCAAATAAAGGGCACCATCCTAGGACTGAGTTTGTGAGGCAAGCATATTGTTCCAGATGGCTGACTCGCGTTCTTTTTCTCTATAGGGCACAACGAAGGTCCTACCCCCAAGTGTGTTGCTGGAGCAGAAGGGCTCAGGGTGACCAGGGAAGGAGAGTCAGAGGGGGAGCAAAGTCTGGTCAGGCACTGGATCCTGTTGGCATTACATTCTCCCCACTCCCTTAGTAACTCAGTGAGTCCAGTTAGTGCATGTGGGTGTGAGGCCATTGTTTGGGGTATGAGCAAATAGTCCATTGTAATACCCCAGTGAAAAATTACTGTTTCTTCACAGTAGCATTCAATAGTCAGTATAGTCCCTTAGCTGGATATAAGGCCTCAGGACTGCCATCTCTCACTTCTAGACTGCAATTATGACTGCTTTGATTTGGTTCAGCTATAAGGACCACATTATGTCTAGGAGACAACATTTCATAGCACTTCTTCCTATTCTCAGGCGCTTTCATTCTTTCTGCTCCCCTTTTTTGAACTATTTCCTGAGCCATGTAGGGAAAGGAAGAGAGAGGCTGATAGATATGTCTTATTGAGCACACATGATCACTTCTCAGCACTTTGACAAGTTATGAATCTCATTAAATACTATCTACTACAGAAAGAGGCTCTTCTGACCAACGTTGGGATTAGCACAGTTTATATGTATAAATATAAATATTTGGAAGGCTGTTTGGCAGCATGATTTAGCAAAACAACAATGGACCCCTCACAACACAGATACACACACACACACACACACACCCTGCACATTCCAGGGGCTATGGGATGATAGAACTGTTTATGAGCTACTTGACAATCAAATATAGTTTCTGTTTTTAAAATTGGCATACTGGATATGTACTTCTTTCCCCCTGCTTAAAATATACTTTTCAAAATAGAAGTTCCAGTCATATAAGTCTTTCAGTTACCGAGAGAAATTGCTCTCCAACACCTAGTTCTGTTCCTGAACCGTGCCTGCCTGTAGTTGTGTTAGGTTTCTGTGAAAGTTCTCTTCCTTGGCTTTGGTCAGTGTTACCATCTCTGTGAATAACAGTCTTGTTTCCTTACCTACCACTCAAATGTCCGGTCTTTCCACTAATTTATATCATCAAAATATTTATATAATGCCCTCTATTTTCTTCATTATTTTCTGAGTCAGTGATAAAATATTGAATTCTAGAAATTTGTGAATACATGCACACACCAAAACAAAGTTGGTCTCATAAAATAGCTATATTCCTTTCTATTACCCACTGAAAAAAAATACAAAGAGCAAATTTTTATAGATTCTTCTCTCTTAACTCTTTCTAATTCTTTTTCCTCCCACAAGACTATAGCTTTCTTGTTTCTTTGACCTGTGTTTTCGCTTTCTCAGATTTCTTTTTACTTGGTTAGAGCTGAAGTCCTCAAAATGAGATATCCACATTGTAAGGGATATGAAGTATACTGTGAAGGAGGAGGGTTAGGGAAGAAATCATCTGTATGACACAGAAAAAGTTAGGGCTCATTGGGTTCAGAATACAATATTGAGTAATTGATCATGGAGGTGAGTGAACTGTTTAAGTGTTTATAGTTTGAAACTGTTCTTTTTTTGACACTCTTTTGTGAGCAAATTTGATTATGGAATTCCAAGCTCATTTTTTTTCTCAGAAAATCTTAAAAATACTTATGATTTGTGTTAGTAGCATTTAGATTTCAGTGTGGTTTGGTCTTTTGTAGATAACATGATGAATTTTAGGATTTTCTTTATATTTTTAAGAAATAGAATTCTGAAGTTTTACCAGAAACGTCTGTGTATAGATCTCTCAGTAATCATTCTTGACATTTTATGAGGCTTGATTTGATAACCTTGTGCCTCCCTTCTTCATCTCTTGACAATAATCTTGTTTTTTAAAAAAAATACATACAAACACACACATCACTATTATTCTTGTTTTAATCTTGTTTGTGAGCGCATGTTGCTAAATCTGGTTCACAGTGACTCATTATTTTCTATATTTGGGTCTTTTAGAAATAATCTTTTTTATTTTCCAATTACGAGTGAGTTGTAATTACTTACCTTGCCAATTGAATTATTCTTTCTCTAATACTTTTATGAACACCTTTTCAAAACAGTTTACACTTGTTTTATTCAAATAAACTTTATGAGAAACTTTTACTTTTTTCCCCATCTTTTGAGACAGTCTCCATGTAGCCCTGGCTGGCCTAGAACCCGCTGTGTAAACTAAACTGACCTCAAACTCAGTCACCTGTCTTTGCCTATTTTGTAAGAAAATTTATGTCTACAATTTTGTCTCCTGAATTGACTATGTAAGGTACTTGTTTCTGTTTTTCTTCTGTTTTTGTTCTTCTTTTCAATGTCATTTTTTTCTTCCCAAACGAATGTTAGCCTTATTGATCTGCTCATATTTTTTTTTTTGAGGATAAGACAGTATCTTTTTATTTATTTTTTTGTTTTTTTTATTAATTTATGAAAGTTTCCACTTCCGCCCCTCCTCCCAAAACCCTCCCATTCCCCCCACTCCCTCTCCTCCTCCCTCTCCCGCCCTAAGAGCAGTCAGTGTTTCCTGCCCTATGGGAAGTTCAAGTACCTCCCCCCTCCCTCCAGGTCTAGGAAGGTGAGCATCCAAACTGACTAG